TGAAACGCAGGCTCTTTGCAGGCCCGATCTGCCTCAAGTAGGACATCTGCTCTGGGTGTGCTACTGTGCCCTAGAGCTGAAAGACACAACGTGCAGGTTTTTTCTAAAGGGCGAGTTGGGCCCCACAGCATCTCGCTTCCAGCTCTTTGGGAAGCTAAGAAACCACTCGCTCTGCACAGTGCTCTTACAGCCTAGCGGGAACATCTCTTCCAAAGGCCTGTGAAACGCAGTTTCTTTGCAGGCCTGATCTGGCTGAAGTAGGACTTCTGCTCTGGGTGTGCTACTTTGCCCTAGATTTGGGGGGGGGGGGGGGGGGCTGGGGGAGGAAGAATGATGGGCAGGTCTCCTCAACAGGTCTCTGAGCTTCTGCAGTGCAGTCTGGACTTTTCTGCCCTTTCTCCTTTTTTTTCTTTGTATTGGCTGAGGAAGATTCGCCCTGAGCTAACATCTGTGCCAGTCTTCCTCCACTTTGTATGTGGGTCACCGCCACAGCAAGGCTGATGAGTGGTGTAGGTGGGCACCCGGGATCCAAACCTGTGAGCCCCAGGCCGCCAAAGCAGAGCACACTGAACTTAACCACTATGCCACTGGGCCGCCCCTCTTTTTTTGGGGGGGGGATACCATTCACATGGCATAAAATTCACTTCCTGTCCATTTTTGCACTTCTGAGTTTCTGTTCCAGATTTCTGTTCCTCTCTGGGTTCCCATCTCTAGTGATTTCTGCATCTCCATCTCTCCAGGTCTCTGTCCTCTCTCTGTTGGATCTCTTTCTCTCCGAGTCTCCTTTCTGAATCAGTCTCTCTCTGGTCTCCTATGTCTCTGGGTCTCTATCTCCCTGCATGTCTGACTCCCTGACCCTCATTCTTCTCTCCCATCTCTCCCTTGGGGTCCCATTTCCCTCTTTGACTATAAACTGACAGGGCAGCCCTTCTCTGCGGGCCCCTGGAGATCTGCTGGTCTCAGTGGCCCACCCTCTTGCTCCACAGTGCCCCTCCGAGATGACGGGAACATGCCCGATGTGCCCAGCCACCCCCAGGACCCCCAGGGCCCAAGCCTGGAGTGGCTGAAGAAACTGTGAGCACCTCCGTTGACAGGGAGGAGATCCCCTCCCCTGTGGCCCCCAATAAAAATGTGAAAACTGACCCCAGAGTCGGAGAGTGTGTGTGATTAGAGGTGGGAGCAGTAGACAGCAGCCCAGGAGAGTGTGGGGCTCAGTTTATTGGGGGGATCAGTCAAAGGGGGGGCTGGCTAGGGTGGGGTAGGGCAGCAGTTTGTCTGGGCCCCGAGAAACCCAACTGGAATCCAGGGCCTCATCTGCTTCGAAGCCAAAGTCTTCCTCGACCTTGATCTGGGGGGAGAAGGGCGAGGGCGTGAGTAGAGATGGCCCGGGGCCTCATTTCTGGCTTCCTCTGTGCACCTCCGAGAAAAATGCCAACCCTCCGGGGCCCCTGTGTCCGGTTCTTCTGGTCACCCACCTTGTGGCCCTCCGCTCCCGGCCTCTCGTTATCTTTCCTCCCCACCACCTCCTCCAGGGCTTCCAACTTCCTCCTCCAGCCAAGCCCTTGCCCCACTTTTTCCAGCTCATTCTCCTTCCCCACCCAACCCCGACCCCCTACAACCCCTCCTGCTCCCCGTCCTTTCTGTAGCTCTCCCCTCCCCACCAACCCAGCCCCTAGGGGTCCTGGTCCTGCCCTGCCCGGTCCCTGCGCCCCTGGCTCTCCCACCTGCACCGGGGCCAGTTCTGGCGTCAGCGCGGCTCCTGCTCGGCGTCCATCCCGGGGCGCTCGCCGCCTCTTCCGCCCGCTGGGCCCCTCACCCGGGGCTGGGCTGCTGGGTTCTGGGGGTGCGGGCGTCCTTCTGGGCGGGGACAGCCCCTCTTTCTCTGGAGGCTCGTTCTCGGCGTTGCCCGGGGTGGGGGCATCTGTGCCCTGGCTGCCCTCGTCCTGGCGGGAGGTGAGGGGGCGGGTGAAGGCTGGGTCCTGGGCTCCCGGTTTGCCCAGCCCCCCGGAGACCCCGCGCTCACCTCCAGCACAATGGTGAACTGGCCGGCCCTGTAGTCATCGCCGTAGGAGTCCAGCACTCTCATGAGAAACCTGCGCCCAGAGAGAACCGCCAGTGGAATAAGTCTGTTCTGGCGGCTGGGGAAAGGGGCACCCGACAGCCCAGCTCTGACTGTGAAGCCAAGGTGCCCTCGACCCAGAAGCTTCAGAGCTCCCAAGTCTGAGACCTGGGTGCCAAGCACTGGACCAGCCGGTGGGACTTTAGGCAAGACAAGGTGACCTCTCTGTGCCTCGGTTTCCTGCCCGGCCAACAGGAGATGATGACTCCGACTAAGTGGAGTGCTGGGAGTGACACTGCAGCTAGATGATCGCTTTCAAGTACTCAACGGGTATCGGCTTAGTAAACATTCAAGCGTAAGTTGTCATTTTTTTTCCAAAAGGTATGCCTTTTTTTTTTTTTTTTTTTGGTGAGGAATATTGGTCCTGAGCTAATATCTGTTGCCAATCTTTCTTGATTTTTTTTTTTTAAAGATTTTATTTTTTTCCTTTTTCTCCCCAAAGCCCCCAGGTACATAGTTGTATATTCTTCGTTGTGGGTCCTTCTAGTTGTGGCACGTGGGACGCTGCCTCAGCGTGGTCTGATGAGCAGTGCCATGTCCGCGCCCAGGATTCGAACCAACGAAACACTGGGCCGCCTGCAGCGGAGCGCGCGAACTCAACCACTCGGCCACGGGGCCAGCCCCTTTCTCGATTTTTTTAAGTCCTTCTAGTTCTATGTGGGATGCCACCACAGCATGGCTTGACGAGTCGTGTTAGGTCCACACCCAGGATCCGAACTGGCGATCCCCAGGCCGCTGAAGCAGAGCACACAAACTTAACCACTGTGTCACTGGCCGGCCTGTAAAAACTGAGAGGCAGGTGCAGACCACCCTGCGGCCTTCTCTTCTTTCCTGTCCCTGCTTCTAAAAGCTTTTTTTTTTTTTAAAGCTCTGATTGATTGAATGCTACCTGTGAGCCAGCGCCTGGGCAGAGCATTTTACACGCACAGTCTCACTCCTTCTCGAGTATGCATCATGCCCTGCCCTGTCCCAGGCAGTGTTCCAGGAGCTGGTCATGTGTCAGGGAACAGAACGAAGGTCCCTGGGCTCTTGGAACTCAGAGTCTCGCAGGGAGACAGACAATCAGCAAATCAACAAACCACAATGGGTCAGAGAGGCGGAAAGAGGCAGATGATACCTGATTGGGACTTCAAAAGGACGGTGGGGGAGGCCTCACTGAGAAGGTGAGGGAGTGGCAGAAGAACCTTTCTGGCAGGAGAAACAGCAAGTGCAAAGGGCCTGAGGTGGGAAGGTGTCTGGTGTGTTCTAGGTAGAGCAAGCAGGCAGGTGTGATGGGCCGTTTGATGCAGGGCCTGGGTGGCTGTTTAAGGACGTTAACTCGGAGTCAGGTGGGACCCCTGCAGGGTTTTGAGCAGAGAAGTGACTTGGTCTATCTTACATTTTATTCTAACTTTTGAAAAAAATGACGTATTTTTTAAAATTGCGATAAATAACATGAAATTTACCACTTTAACCATTTTTAAATGTACAGCGCGGTGGCATTAAGTACATTCACGTGGTTGTGCAACCATCACCACCATCCGTCTCTAGAATTCTCTTCATCTTGCAAACTCTGTCCCCAATAAACAACAACTCCCCGGCCCAGTCAGCCACCACTCCGCTTCCCGTCTCCATGACTCTGACTACCCTGAGAACCTCAGGCGAGTGGAATCACACAGTATTGGACCTTTGGTGACGGGCTTATTTCACTTCACATAATGCTTCAAGATTGAGCCATGGTGTAGCATGTGTCAGAACCTCCTTCCTTCCTAAGGCTGGATAATATGCCAGCATATGCATACACCACATTGTTTATCCGTTCCTCCATCCATGGCTGCCTGGGTTGCTGCCACCTTTTGGCTTTTGCAAATAACACTGCTATGAACATGAGGTTACAACTATCTGCTCATGTCCCTGCTTTCAGTTCTTTTCGGTATGTACCCAGAAGTGGAATTGCTGGGTCACACGGTAATTCTATATTTAAAAATTTGGGGGAGCTGCCATACTGTTTTCCATGGTGGCGTGTCTTACATTTTAAAAGGACCACTCGACCACCCTCCATGTTTCTGATGGTCTGGCGAGAGGCCCAGAACTTGCATTGTGACAATTCCCAGAGGTCTGAGGCTCGATGTCCAGGGCCCACACACTGAGACCCACAGAGCTGGGCTCCAGACACAGAGCTCAGAAGGCGTCTCCAGGGGCTGGCCCGTTGGCATAGTGGTTAAGTTCACACACACTGCTTTGGCGGCTTGGGGTTCGCAGGTTTGGATCCTGGGCGCAGACCTAGCTCGTCAAGCCAGGCTGTGGCAGCATCCCACATAAAATAGAGGAAGATGGGCATGGATGTTAGCTCAGGGCCAATCTTCCTCACATAAAAAAAAATAAAAATTAAAAATAAATTAAAAAGAAAGCATGACTCCCTGACGAATCCACAGGGAGTTTAGCGTGTGCGGATACTTCCTCTGCCTTTTGAGGTTGTCACCATAAAGGCCACCCCTCCCCTTCCCTAGACTGGGTCCTGCTGTAAAATACAATCTTGGCTGATGGTACAAATAGGACCAAAAGGGTTCAGCCAGGCCCACCCCGTTGTGACAGACTTGGAGGGGCACGGCAGGTGCAGGGAGACGAGTCAGAGCACAGCAGGAATCGTGTGAGAGGTCACATCCCTGGGCCCAGCTCGGCGGCAGTGGAGGTGACAAGACGTGGGGTTCTGGTATATTTTAAGGTGCTGCTGGGTGGGCGGGGTTTTAAGGGTAGAGTTGACAGGAGCTCTGGTGGGTGAGATGCAGGCAAGAGGAAGCAGCACAGGATCCCCAGCCCTTGGGGGAGGGGCCAGGCTTGGGGGAAGTCAGGGTTAGTTCTGGAAGCATGTCAGAGAGCCAGTGTCACCGTCCTGCGGGCAGCCAAAAAAGAGAACAGAGAGCTCCGAGGACAGCTGCAGACAGGATCTGGAGGTCCGAGGCCGCCAGGTGGCCTTTAAAACCACAGCGCTACGAGCTCTGCAGGCGGGGCACACCCCCAGCACTGACCAGAACTTCCCGTGAGGACAGACATGTCCCGTACCTGCGCTGACCACTGCAAAAGCCACTGGCCAGCTGCTGCTACCACTGGGCACCTGGCACGTGGCGAGAGTGACGAGGAACTGAGCTCTTAACTTCATCCTCTTTAAATTAAGTGTACATCACTTCTTGTGCCATGAAGCACCTCACACGCGGCGAGTGCAGCTGAGCAACTGAAATTTTAAATTTCATTTAATGTTAGTTAATTTAAACGAAAAGTGGCACCTGTGGCTCGTGTGCCGGAGGAACTGGATTCCTAATTTCACTTCCTTTCAGCTGACTTCAGTGTAGATTGCCCCCTGCAGCTACTGAGCGCTTGCGTGGTGGGAGCCTCTCAGGAACTGAATTTTCAACTTCATTTTAATGAGTTTTAATTAAATTTATTCATGTAGTTACAGTGGATTTTAATTATGTGTCAATGAAAGTTGCCACCTGTGGCTACCGTGCTGGACAGCACAGAGATGGACAGAAGAGGACTTAGGGCCAAGCCCTGGGGGACAGGGTTTGGGAGGAAGAGGATGGGGCAGGGAAGTGGCCGACGGCCAGGGGGCAGGGGAAACCCAGGAAGGTGAGGGACCTGGACCCCAAGAAAGTGCTTCACAGAGGCATATCCACTGGCCAGGGAGGCGGAGGGCTGAGGACCAAATGAGGGGCTGAGCATTGTGGAGCCCTTCCTCACAAGATGAAGAGGGAGACACAGCCAGTGGCGGGGTCAGCATCAGATCCCGGGCGGGCTGGCCCCAGAGCTCACGCCCCTCCCAGTCACAGTGACACAGGTGCACAGAGGGAAGCTCTGAGCTCAGCTCACCCCCTGGGAGCTCCCACTTAATCCTCAGCAGCCTCGTGACTTTGGCATTGCTCTTGTTGACAGGAAACTGGGGCTCAGAGAGGGCATGTCGCTTGCTCAGAGTCACACAGCAAAACAGTGCTTGAAACTGAGTCTGTGAGCACACCTAGGCCCCCCAGGCTCAGGTGCAGCTCTTGC